TCTCTCTCTCTCTCTCTCTCTCTCTCTCTTTCTTTCTCTCTTTCTTTCTCTCTTTCTTTTTCTTTCTTTCTTTAACATTTTTGCCATAGGGTGTATGCTCCCCCTCTGCCCAAAGACAGGGTGAGAAATCACCCTGGGGGAATTTGTGCTATCAGTTTTAACTCGCCTTGGTAATGGTGGCTTACTCGACAATTAGTAAACCTTCTTATCTATGTTAAGGTTAAGCTTAAATATTCCTTTCTGTTTTAAACAAAACCCTTCTCTTTTGGCCAATAACAAAAGAATCTCTGAATCTAAGTAAAGCCCTAACCCCCCTGCTTCAAGATATTGTGCCTTTTCAGAACAAACCAATGTATAACCTCCATGTGCTGTTTCATAATGTTGTAACTTCTGCTTTCCTGAAATGTATAATATAAATGACCAATTGTAGCCCCATTTCCTCCTTTTGTTAAGGCTTTTTGAGAGTGTTTCCCAGTATGTAGTTACTGATATTGGCTTAGAATAAACCTCTTTTAGTATTTTACAGAAGGTTTGTTTTTGTTTTTGTTTTTTTCATCAATGTAACTTTACAGGGGAAAACTCTGTCAGAGCTACCTCAACCTGGTGATTAAAGTTGACATCACCAATAACAGGACAGATAAAACTGGTACGCCTCCCGATACGATGGATAAGATGTGCTGAGGAAGACACAGCATCACTTCTGAGGAGCTCCTGCCTACAAAACTTCCTCTCCATTTTATCATGAGAAAGTCAAGGCCATTCAACAAAACACCTTGTCTGTGTGCTTCAAAACTGGCAAGGGCCAGCCATGGCCTAGGGATTAAGGGAGTAAGATCTCACATGGCTGACTGCGTGGTTCAAATCTTGGACCTGGTGGCTTGAAAAACACACTGGGTGTTTGTGTGTGCCAAAAAGCCTAACAAGATGGAAACATAGATGAGAAGGGATTGTGGTGTGACAATGCCCCAAAGGGAGCACTTTCTCCCTCTCCTTTCTTTCTGTCGCTCTCTGGTGAGCACATGAGGTCTCTGACAAACTTAAAGAGAAAAGGACATCATTGGTACAACCGAATACATGCTAGTGTGTGTGTGTTTACATATTAATATAAATACATACTAATAGAAATATATACAAAGTTGTCTTAGAGTTAAATTCCTGATTTTGATCATTGCATGAAAGCTATGTAAGGAAATACTCTTGGAGAACCAGCAGTTAACTTAATGGCTATGTCGCTGGACTCCCACAGAGTTGACCGCGGTTCGTGTCCCAGACCCGGTGGCTTAAAACTCACGCCGGGCGCATGTGCGTGCGTGCCCAAGATCCCGAGAGGAGAATGGAGAAGAAGAGATTGTGGCCTGGCCATCCCCCCTGGGGGGTGATTTCTCACTTTCTGTCTCTATGTCTCTCTCTGTCTGTCTGGAGAGCGCACGCGCCTTGTAGTGAAAACCTCTCAAAAAAAAAAAAAAAGGAAATACTCTTGTTTGGGGAAAATTGAAGTATTCAGAGGTAAAGAGGTCATTTCCTCTCAGTCAGCTTGGAAAAAAAATTTAGATAGATGATAGAGTCATGATGGATGATAGTAGATGGATAAACAGGCAGACACATGATAGGTAGGTAGGGAGACAGGAAGGTAGATAGCTATATAGGTGACAGAATGTGACGAAGCCGATGAGATTGTGTTGTGAGGTGAGGCCATGTAAGTGAAACCATCTGCATACTGCCCTACTCATCTTGTAGCCACCCAAGACCTCACTTCTGTCCATAAATTCCCTTATTAAACTCAACTGACAAGCTGGCCTTTCTACCTCACTCTGGTCTGTCAGCTCCTCTGAAATATTTTGCTTGCATGGCTTCACCTCAGAATAGAAGGAATATCAACCACTGAGAAATGTCAGCAAAGAATACAAGAGAGTTCTTCGCATTATTACAATGTTTCTGCAAACCTGAAGTTATTTTAAAATGTAAAAGTTATAAAAATAAAATAGAGGAAAAAGGTCCTATTTTGATCCAAACATCAGCAATGCAGATTCTACCTGACCCCAGGTCTACTGGTCCCCCTCCCAGTCCAGCACCCACCCCATCCTGCGCACACTGGCCTGACAGTCTTTAGCACCCAGCAGTGAAGGACACGTGCACAGGGCCATGGCTTCCCTGACACCCCAGACCTATGTTTGCTCCTCCACTCCCCAAAGGCTGACCTCTAGTTGGCCTGCAACCTCTCAGGAACACATGTCCTGCCACTTCCTGGGCACTGCCCACAGTTTCAAAGCAGACCAGTCCCACTGAGGAGGGAAGCTGCTAGGCCTCCTATTTTGCCACCAGGTCTGGAGGTAGGTGGCCAGAGTCCTCCCTTCAGTCTCAACATCCAGCTCTGTGCTCCTGACCAGGACCCTAGTGACTACCCAGGCCCGTGCTGGTGCTCTACTATGTGACAAGCTCCAAGTTTGAACCTCTGACTCTGGCACCAGAGGGCTCCCCCAACACCTCAAAGGACTGCTATGGGTACTCACTGAAGTCATTAGGCTCTATGTTGGGATCAAGGGGGTCTCCCCAAAGGACCCATGTGTGGCATGCCCCACCTTCCATGTGTGGCATGCCCCACCTTCCATGTTAATGTTGGCCACCCATCATGCTTCATGGCGCACTGCAGGAAAACACTGGCTACTCCTGCTTGGAGCTCTTTCCTTGGGCCTCTTGAGCAGCCCTCAGCCTCAATCCCTTGGTCCCAAAGCCTGAGCTTACTTCCCCCCAGATGAGGTGTTTGGGACCAAGATCAAAGCAATCATAGGAAGAGAGATTTGTGGTGGGAAGATGGAATATAAGCCCAGATCACTGAGGTGGGGGACAGAGCTGGGGCCTCCCAGAGCTGCGAATAGTTGTGATGATGGCACAAGTAGGGGAGTGAGACAGATGCTAAGAAATCCATTCCCTGTGGAATTGATGTGAGGAATGGAGGACTCTCCACAACTCCAGATACCTAGCGCCCTGCAGACCTCTCACCTCTCATCCAGCACTGGGAATCAGGAAATGGCACTGCTTGAAAAGAGTGGGACCAGAACTCCCACCCTGAGAGCCCCGCTTCCCCCTCAGATATATGCATTCACTGATACCTTCATTCAGTCACTCATGCCTGTGGGCAACCTACCTGGGGAGCAGGAACCGTATGTGAATGCTGCTCAGAACCAGAGGCCTGCTCAGAGGAGGCAGATGTTCCTGATGGAAGAGGCACATGGGGACCAGGCCCAGCACTAGCTGATGGAGGCCAGATACAGTAGAATGTGGTACTGGGCCTTGGTCCCTGATGGATCCCAGGACCCAGAGACTCTTCTAGGTGGACATGAGCTCATGACACTGAAGCAATTGGATCATGGCAAGGCCGTCCACACAGGGCTATGCCCCTCAGGCAGGGCTTGTACCACAGCCCAGGCCCAGCCCTCTTCCTCATCCACTTGTTCTGCTCCTCTGTCTAGGTGAGCCAAGGCTTCCCCAGCTCACTCCTCTTCCTCCTCCTTCGTTTCCTCCTTGGCCACACTCCAAAGGTTCTCTAGGGAGACTATATACGTGTGTGTATGTATATTATTATATATAATTTATTATTTACTATATATAATTATTTGCCAGAGGGTATGTGGACTTGCCCCAGAGAGACAGAGAAAGAGAGGAAAGCACCTCTATGGTGGATGGTCTTGCTGTGATCCTCTTCTCCTCCACTTCTCCCTCCCCGCGGGATTTTGGGCATGGACTCATAGCCACCAGGCCTGTTTTTAAGCCTCTGGGTCTGGGATTCAATCGCAGCCACCTTAACCACTGGGAGCTCAAGATCCTTCTTTAGGGGTGGAGCACAATGTCAGCGCTCACTCACAGGGGACTTGTGGGGAGGAAGGAGAAGGCCAGCTGGAAGGAGGACGCGCTAGAGAAATGGAAGACTCAGGTGGACTTGAATCTTTACTTACAGAAAAGCGACAGAGCCAGAGGCTCATGGGGGCGGGGACTTCAGCGAGGGTGCCTGGGGGCAGGGGCACGAACACTGGGCGGAAGAGTGTCGGGCGACGCGCTGGTCTCAGGAGCTGGCGGGAAGACGCTGCGAAGAGAGAGGGCCAGGATTGAGCGGGCGAGGCAGGGCCTGGCGCCCAGGAGCCCACCGCCCACCCTGGATGGAAAAACAGCAAGCTGACCCCGCGGATGCTGCTCCCTGTTCACCTGCCCGCTCCTCTCTGCCCCTCGGCGCCCAGAGGTGCTCGGCCAACCTTGGCTGGAGTTAGAGTGCGCATCCCTGGCAGGGTTCTGGAGGGGCTGGCCGCCCCGGGGAGGGGAGGTGAGAGGGAAAGTGGACCGGGAGGAGGGTTCCTGGCTCAGAAATCGTGGCAGCCCTGAAAGAGACCACTGCGGAGCTGGCCAGGACGGGCGCAAAGACCGACAAACCTACCCCGGGGCGGGGCCGGCGGGGGCCGCGAAGGCGGTCACTGCGCGGGAAGAGGTGGCGCGCTCCCGGCCGCCTTCCGTGCGTCCTCCTTCTCTCCGGTGGTCAAGGGCTTCCCCGGCGGCTCGGTGGCCACTGCTGCCGCCGCCGCCGCCGCCACCG